CAGCAGCATTATCTACAATAGCCAAATTATGGAAACAGCCCAAGTGTCCACTGATTGATGAATGGGTAAAGAAGATATGATACACACACAGGAATATTACTCAGCCATAAAAAAGATGGGAATCTCGTTTTTCAACATGGGTGGAGCTAGGGAGTATTATGCTAGGTGAAATATCTCAATCAGGTAAGATAAATACCATGTGATTTAACTCACATGTCAATTTTTTTAAAAAAAGATTTTATTTATTTATTTGACAGACAGAGATCACAAGTAGGCAGAGAGGCAGGCAGGCTCCCCGCTGAGCAGAGAGCCTGATGCAGGGCTTGATCCCAGGACCCACGATCCCAGGATCATGACCTGAGCCAAAGGTAAAGGCTTTAACCCACTGAGCCACCCAGGCGCCCACTCATGTGTCAATTTAAGAAACAAAACAGCAGGGCTCCTGGGTGGCTCAGTAGGTTAAGAGACTGCCTTCATCGCAGGTCATGATCCCACAGTCCCATGATCAAGTCCCATGATCAAGTCCCAGGTCGGGCTCCCTGCTCAGTGGAAAGTCTGCTTCTCTCTCTGACCCTCCCCCATCTCATAGTCTCTCTCTCAAATAAATAAATAAGTAAAATCTTTAAAAAATAAAATCTGACTCTTGATCTCTGCTGAGGTTATGATTTTGAGGTTGTGGGATCAGTCCCATGTGGGGAGGTGGCTTGGGATTCTCCCTTTCCTTTGCTTCTCCCCTGGTTCGTGCATATGAGTGCACGTTCACTCTCTCTCTCTCAAGTAAATAAATCTTTAAAAAGAAAAGGCAAAACAAATGAACAAAGGGAAAAAAGAGAGAGGGTCAAACCAATAAACTCTAGAGAACAGACTGCTTTACAAGGGGGAGGTAGATGAGGGATGAATTAAGGAGTACACTTGTAATGAGTGCTGAGTGTTGTACGGAATGCTGAATCACTGAATTGTATGTCTGAAACAATTATTACACTGTATGTTAACTAACTGGAATTTAAATAAAAATAAAAAATAAAAATAAAAACTAGGGGTGCCTGGGTGGCTCAGTGGGTTAAGCCTCTGCCTTCAGCTCAGGTCATGATCCTAGGGTCCTGGGATCGAGCCCCGCATCGGGCTCTCTGCTCCGCAGGGAGCCTGCCTCCACCTCTCTCTCTGCCTGCCTCTCTGCCTACTTGTGATCTCTGTCTATCAAATAAATAAGTAAAATCTTTAAAAAAAAAAAAAAAAGTAAAAACTAGGAATATTTTTGAAAGAAATTGAAGATGTAAATAAATGGAAAAAGCATTTCCTGTTCATAAATTGAAAGACTTAATACTGTTAAGATACTAACATTCCCCAAATAGATTTAACTAAAAAAAACAAAAAACAAAAAACAAAAAAAAAAACCCTATCAAAATGCCAGCTGGCTTCTTCGTAGAAACTGCCAAAATTAATCTTAAAATTCATGTGGAAATTCAAAGGATCCTGGATATTCAAAACAACCTCAAAAAGAGCAAAGCTGGAGATTGGAGGACTCACATTTCCCAATTTCAAAATTTACCACAAAGCTACAATAATCAAGGTTGTGATACTGTGCAAATCATATCTGATAAGGTACTACATCCAGAATCCATGAAGAATCCTTACAACTCAACAATAAAAAGACAAAACCAGTTCAAAGATGGGCACAGGATTGAACAGATATTTCCTAAAAAGGCTATAAAAGTGGCCAATAAGTACATTAAAAGATAACATCATTCACCATCAAAAAAATGCAAGTCAAAACCACAATGAAAAAGCATTTCACACCCACTAGGATGGCTATACTCAAAATACAGACAATGACAAGTGCTAGTGAACATGTGGGGGAATTGGAACCCTTATACTTTGCTGGTGGAGTTGTAAAATGTAGCTATTGCGGAAAACAATTTGATTATCAAGAGATCAGCAAGTCTACTCCTTGGTATACGCTCAGGAAGAGTTGAAAACATGTCCATGCAAAAACTTTTATATGAAAGTTAGGTCAAAGAAGCTAGTCACAGAAGATCACTTATTATAAGAGTCTATTTATATGAAATTTCTAGAATAGGCAAATCTACAGCAACAGAAAGACCAGTTGCCCAGGGTTTGGGGAAATGGGTGAGGGTAATGAAGAGTGACTACCAATGTGTATAGGGTTTTTTTGTGTGTGTTAATGAAAATATTCTGAAATTAGCTAGTGATAAAGCTTATGAACTTACTAAAAACTACTTAATTATATACTTCAAATGAGTAACTTCTGGCATATATCTCAATAAAGCTGTTAAAAAGAATCTTTTATTACGAGAGGATTAGCATGTTAAGAAAGAACTACGTCCACTTAGGGCTATATGTTTTTTTTCCCTTAGAAATTATAGTATTAATACATTATTTTAAATGACAATTTTATTTATCACTGTGATAATTTATAGTTGTGCTTACTTCTTGATTCCAAGAAACACATTTCTAGATTTGGACATGAAAAGATCTTTAAACATTTTGCTAGTCACCTTTTCTAGATCATGCACAATTTGGACATGTGTTGCACTGTATTTTTAAAAAAAATTTCCTTGTCCTAAGTGTGACTTTTTTTTACAATGAGGGGTCAGTGATAATATATCTGAATGGCTACACTGAGGAATTTTCAGTTTCAGACACTACAAGCCAGGTATTCACAAACCCATGTAAAAAATAAAAATAAATGAGAAAGTTCTCCAAGAATCAACAGAATCTAACCAGATGCGAAACCAAAGACAGGAGTAATGGACAGAATGAACACGGATAACTACATCTCCCCCAGGTTCTAAATAACGTCCATCACCTTTTATTTAGGAATAACATCACTCTCACTTATAAGGTGTTTCCTACTCACAACTCCAAGAGGAAACGACTGGCTTTAAGTCAGGTTAACTGAGTGACTTTTCATTCTAAGCTTGCTCATTATGACTTTGCAGCTACATGCACACATGCAAACACACACACACACACACACACACACACACACACACACACCCCAGCTTCACTGAATGAAGCAGTGTGTCTTAATGATCCAAATCCCTCTAGCCCTTGCACTCTATTCAGTGTTTCATTCCTTTGTATATACAGTAAATATTTCTAAAGTATGTCAGCAGTGATTTAACCTTCAATATTTCTAAGCATGCTACCAACACCCATAAGCACATGTCAAAGGCTATTAATGGAGTAGTGGAAAGTGACTGATCAGCTTTGGAACCATATAGAACCTGAGTTCAAATCCTAGCTCAATCACAAGTGGTAAGCTCTATGGGTTTTGGTTTTCTGTCTGTGCAATGGAGAGATCAATGAATATTTTGCTGCACTCTTGTGAAAGTTTAAAGAAATACATAAAAATAACTAATAAGCTATATAAATAAAAATATATAATAAATACATATTTATAAATATATATATATAAATAAAGAGATAAATAAAAATAATTAGTCTTGACCTCAGCATTTGTGGTATTTGTTTATCTACCCAAAAACAAACTGAAGTGAACTCATTTGTGGCTTTCTGGAAACAAGTTTAATACTTTAGTTCAGGTTGCTTTTAATGTGCTTAACACTTTTTTGTAAAATAGAAAATAATTCCCTTCAAATCCTACAAAGTGACCTGACATACACCTAAGTTGAAGTAATAATCTAATAACAACATGCATTTTGGAGAAATCTGAGATAGTAACACTGTCAATATTTCCAAGTTTTCACCAATTACTCTCCCTCCCTAGCAGTCTAATTCTAAAATTCAGTTCTTTCAGACTCAATCAAATAGCATCCATGTTTCAAAGTTTATCACTAGAGACCTGTTTTTTTATCATTTTTTTTTTAAAGTAGGCTCCATACCCAGTGTGGAGTCCAACACAGGGCTGGAACTCAACCCTGAGATCAAGACCTGAGCTGAGATCAAGAGTAGATGCTTAAATGACTGAGCTCCCTGGCATCCCTTCATGATTCTAGATTTTGTAGTGCTGTATAGAAGGAATTTGAGTGTTTCATTTGTATCCAACAACCAAAAGGAAATACTTGCTATTAAAAAACTCCAAATGACTAAATTAAGATTTAAATGAACTGATTTGAAATATCTGTCATATAAACAAAAGTGTTTATATTGTGTTCACAATAGTTTCACCTCATCAGAAATCAGCATTCCACATTTTCTACAGGTTTAACTTTTGGAAATTTACATCATATTTTCCTTCTGCCTCTTTAATAAATTATTTATGGATGAAGGCTACTTCCTAGCAGAGGTAATAAAAAGAACTCTATTAAAAATACACAGATAATAAATATGTGTTACTTAATAACCTTAGAAAGGTACTGTATAAGGTCTGTAAAGACAAGTAATTAGTAACAATTTCAGAAAATATAACTTTATAACCTATCTGTGTAACATTAAAAAAAAAGGATGACAAAAGCTAAAGAAAAAATGATTTATAAAAGCTCGACTGGGTTATTTCAGTTTCAGTTCCCTTCCCTAAAAGAAAATGAGGAGAGAAACTTTCTGACACCATAGAAAATTCTACAGAGGATCAAGCTGGCTGAACTATCACCTTTTGAATGAAGCCTATCCTAACCACTCTTATCTTCTGCAACTGCACCCCCTCCCAAACTCTCTGGCTCAGTGTCCCACCCCCACCACCCTCATGGCTTTAAACATTTTCTAACTTAGTTATAATATTTATTTTTTATCCTGTTTCCACCCACACACTAAAAATGTGGGCTCCCCATGGGCAGGGATTTTTGTTCTGCACGCTGATGTAGCCTGAATGCCCACAGTAGGGTCTAACAAATGGCAGGTGCTCAAGAAATAATCACTGAACGAATGAATGAGGCTACATAACAGAGGAGAGCAACAAGCATATTCATGTGCCACTTAAAAAGATTAGTCCTCTAGATCAGATTGAGAACATTCTGAATAAAGATTAAACATCCCACCACTTCAAATTACTCAGCTCACATTTCCCTTCAAGACCCTACCTGCCTGAGTGCGTTCCTATGGCCACCACTGTGCCACTTGGATGAAAATCTGCACAGTGTCCTGGTTCCTAGAAGAGAGACAGACAGCTGTTGGGGAGTACATGTGAAAGTCTCCCTAGATCTATGGGAATAGTGGCAAAAACATTTGAAAATAATTGGTTTCATATTGACATGGAATTCTGATCAACTTTCTTGTAGCCAGTGAAAAATATCACATTGATATGAGAGGAAAAAGAATTTCAGAGCAGGGAGGGGTATGTTGGCAAAGTGGCAAGGGAAAAGGACAGCCAGCTTGTGGCTAGGCAGTGGAACAATAAGGATAATAACAACAAACATGTATACAGTTCTTTAGTTTGCAAAGAACGTGTATACACCTTTGGGCTAGAAAAGGCTGATGTCTGGGTCGGGTAGGGAGAAAATATAGTAAGAGATCAACTCCAAAAGAAGACAGTAGAGTCTGTTAGTGAGCAGCGCTTACTGAATCCAACTGCAACACCACCAGAGGCCCAAACATTTCTGTAACAATTAATCCTCCACAAATATGTCAAAATCTTTTTTTTTTCTACTGAAACAGAAAAATTGAGCTTTTGCCCTAATTTGCTTCTTCAAAGTGGATACATGTACACTTCGTGACTAAACATTCTCCCCTTACCTCATCCCCTTTACTAAACTACACACTTGGGTTTTAACCAATGCGGAGTCCTTTTTCCTTTGCTGCTCCCAACTGCCGGTTTAGGGAGTTTTCGTGGGGGGATTATGATCACATTTTGCTTTACTCACATCTACAAGCCTGGTCCATTCTAGCCTGTGTTCCACTGAGTTCCACATGCACACCTGTCTGTCCTGAGCACATGTCAAGAGCAAATCTTTGAAGGGATGTGTGGCAAGACCCCAAAGCTCATCTGTATGACCCTGAAAATGAAATAGACCCATTGTTTTAAGAAACAGAGGGCATCATAAAAAATATTCAGTTAATGGTTAAAATCATACATCTTACCTGTACTTCTATTTGGAAGCCATCATTAAATGTTCCCCGCAAAATGAAATTTCGTGATGTGCCTACCAAAAATTGATCTGCCTTTCCTTCTGCTACAGCTCTGATTGTTCCATAATGATCAGGAACCTAAAAAATAAATTTATAAAGTCACCCTACACATAACAACATGTATTAATTACTACCCGAAGACTGCATTTACAGCTGTAAGCAACTATGGGATAATAAATGACAGAATTCCAAATCTGAAAGTCACATGGTAATATTATACTAGGAAGTTTATTTACTCAATTACATTTTATTATACAGAAGTTATAATGCATTATCAACATTCTTTGCTTTAGTCAATTTAATTTAGATTTAATATGATTTCAAGAGTTCAGTTAGGTGTAGGGGAAAAAGTTCTATTAGACCATATAAAAATGTGGTCTGGTTTTGTTATTTACTGGTTGTTATTTGGGTTACATCATTTAGCTGAAGACAAATTTATCTAAAATATGGGGAAATAATTATATATACTCTACCTATTCTTGATTGTTGTAAGGATAAAAATGTAAGAATAACACAAGGGAGATTTATTTGTTAACTAAAAAGCAATATATTGCAAAGTGTTATAACTATCATTCATAGGACTCCTTGGGAGATCAATCTCATTTAATGCACTACACGTTATACTCTCAGTGAAGAGTGTATTAATAAGATAATAAGCCCAAGCAATGACTCTGAAATAATGCAATTTTTCTTTATGAAGGAGGACCCAAAGTGACTCCTCAAAGCACAAATAATTAAAGTCCAAAGGTAATCCAAACTGATGTTAGCAATGGCAAAGGGGATGAACAGATGGTGCAGCTTTTGATTACAAAGGATATAAAAGTTATCTGTGAATAAAAGAAATAGTAAAGGAAGTGACATTTTCATTATGAACCTGAGGTTGTGATAAAGTGACTCTTTCGACTTCTTGTCTGTCTCCTTGGCAATAAAACCCAAGAGCAGTATACTGTTGGGACCCTCTTTTTTAAGAAAAGATTTTGTCTGGAAAACACATTATGTGTTGACAACAGCATAAATTCAAAATTTAAATCACCCCCCAAAAAAGAAGCAATACTAAACTCTGTGAAATTTGCCCTTGCTTTGAGAATCACTGACCTATAGAATGCTATTATTAACCATTTCACTTCCAGAGACCTCAATGCAAGTAAGAAACTCCCCCCGAGCGCAGAATACTTGTCAGGTGTTGTGGATACACCTGGTGCAGGATATGAAGCAGACATATACACAGAGAGTGATTATCATTAAGCCCACTGTTTAAAAGATTATTTTCAAGTTTTAAAATCAAACTGGTTATTTTTTATAGCTTAGAGGTGGATACTGTATCTGATGAATGCTGAATTTAAGTCTGCATGGTTATATTTTTAGATCAGTAAAAGATAATCTCAGAAATAAACAAAAACTACTTAGTCTGACCAATATATAATATATATATATGTATATTTACTCTTTCCAATTATTTTGTTTAATAAATGGTCCTTTTTCCTTTTTCTTTTTATGAGAATGAAATGATAAAAATGTGCACCAGTTAGGAAAAGAATAAATGAAACAAGATGGGATCGGGAGAGAGACAAACCGTAAGAGACTCTTAATCTCACAAAACAAACTGAGGGCGGGGGTAGGGAGAGGGGGGTGGGGTTATGGACACTGGGGAGGGTATGTGCTATGGTGAGGGCTGTGAAGTGTGTAAACCTGGCGATTCACAGACCTGCACCCCTGGGGCTAATAATACATTATATGTTTATAAAAAATTTCAAAAAAAATTTGAGGGAAAAAAAAAGTGTGCACCAGTTTCCCAGGAAAGTGTGTTAACTTATTATGGGATGAAAGACAAGCACTTAGAAAACTTAACATTTTAAAATTTTCATGTTTCATTTTCATCCTTACCTCTATTTCTCTTTCAGGATTCAAATCATGATCCCACAGAATTATTTTTCTGTCTTTCCCACCTCCAGTTAATAACATTCCATTTCTCATCTGACAAAGTGTAAATACACTGCCATCATGAGCTTTGATTTGTTTGCTGATCTGATAAACACCTAATGAGATGAGAGAAAAAAAAAAAACACTAGTGATATTTTCCATCACTTTAGTGTCTTTTTGGAAGAAAACTTTAACTACAGACTGAAGAATCAAAAGTTCCTCCTTTTGCATTTATGTCAATATTCAGTTACTCTGAAAACATTTCAAAATAATTCTTACAAAAAGATATAATTCCACAGACAATAGAGGATACATTAGCTTACTATCCCTTATAAGCATCCTACATGGTAGGCAGGGTAGGTATTACTCTTCTGATTTTAGAGCTGAGGACACAAGTCTTCAATGTTTCCTTAAGCTTTCCAAAAAGTCTTCATTTCCTACTGAGGTAAGAGCCATAATATTTAACATTTAATAACCACTGCTGGGACACCTGGGTGGCTCAGTCAGTTAAGTATCTGCCTTCGGCTCAGGTCATCCCAGAGTCCTGGGATTGAGCCTCTAGTCAGGCTCCCTGCTTCTCCCCCTGCTTGTGCTCTATCTCTCTCTGGCAAATAAAAAAAAAAAAAAAAAAATATATATATATATATATATATATATATATATATATATATATATATATAAAAATAACCATTGTTCATGTGGAGGCCCTCTGCTCTGCCAATGACTGCTCCTTTTATTTGCTAAAAAATGGAGGACTGGGAAAGGTACGGGGGTGGAAATGGGCACCAGTAGCCTAGAACAGTGGCTTTTGATCAACTAGAAAAGTATTAAAAACTGGTCCGGCTGAACCAATGTGATGGCTGAATGACAGCCCAGGTTTCTTATATGTCCATAGCACTTTACCCAGGGAGGAACAAGGCAGGTCCATAAAAATATATTTTAAGTAAAGTCTACGTAGACATTAAAAAACAAAATACATACACATGTATGCTTGTGCGCGCGCGCGCGCACACACACACACACACACACAACTGACCACTGAACAATACAGGGATTAGGTATACCAACCCCCTGCACAGTCAAAAATCTGTGTATAGCTTTTGACTCCCCCTAAACTTAACTACTAATAGCCTACTGTTGACAGGAAGCCTTACTGATAATAACAATAGTTGATTAACACATATTTTGTATGCTGTATGTATTAAATATATATTCTTCCAATAAAGCTAGAGGATAAAATATTACTATTTTTTAGAGATTTTATTTATTTACTTGTCACAGAGAGAGAGAGAAAGCACAAGCAGGAAGAGCAGCAGGCAGAAGGAGAAGCAGACTCTGTGGTAAACCAAGGAGCCCCGATGTGGGACTCGATCCCAGGACTCCAAGATCATGACCTGAGCCAAAGCAGTTGCTCAATGGACTGAGCCACCCAGGCATCCCTAGAGAAAATATTATTAAGAAAATTGTTAAGAGGGGCACCCAGATAGCTCAGTTGGCTAAGCTTCAGTCTTGGTCCTGGGGTTGAGCCCCACAATAGGCTCCCTGCTTAGCGGGGAGTTCACCTCTCCTTCTCCTTCTGCCACTTCCCCCCCATCCCCTGTCCTTGTGCTTTTTCTCTCAAATACATAAAATCTTAAAAAAAAAAAAAAGACATTTACAGTACTGCAAAAAATCTGCATATGAGTAGACACATGCAATTCAAACCTATCTTGTTCAAGGGTCAGCTATGTATGTATATATGTGTGTATATTTTATATGTAATCAGATACTCTTTTTTCCTTTATATTATATTATTTATTTATTTAGTAGGCTCCACATCCAACATGGGCTTAGACGCATGACCCCGAGATCAGGAGTTTCATGCTCTGACAGAGGCAGCCAGGCATCCATCAAGACCCTCTTTCTTAAGGGCAAGGGTAAGATTTTAGTACAAAAACTATAACCACTTCATTTCCTGAGAACTCCTTCTTTGGTATTCATGATACCTTACCTCAATGAACCTCTTTATCTGGCTAGTAAGGCTGGAAGAGCAAGAGTAAAAGCTCTTTGGAAAATACCTTGTAGAATCAGTTACTAGGTTAAAAATGGGAAGGTAGCACCTTGTTTAAATATGGCCAAAGTGGGGTGCCTGGGTGGCTCAGTCGCTAAGCATCAGCCTTCAGCTCAGGTCATGATCCCAGAGTCCTGGGATTGAGCCCTCCATCGGTTTCCTTGCTTGGCAGGGAAGCCTGCTTCTCCCTCTCCCCCTGCTGTGTTCCCTCTCTCGTTGTCAAATAAATAAATAAATCTTAAAAAAAATGGCCAAAGTAAGTAAATAAGTAGATCTTAAATCACTTGGAATAATAAAAAAAAACTATAGGTTTAAAATTTACTCACTGAGAGAAATGGGTGAAGGGGGTTATAAGGTTCAGATTTCTAGTTATAAGATAAATAAGTTCTTGGAATTTAACGCACAGCATGGTGACTACAGTTAACAATGCTGTATTATATACCTGAAAATTAAGCTGCTAAGAGAGTAGGTCTTAAAAGTTTTCATCAAAAGAAAAATTTGGGGGCGCCTGAGTGGCTCAGTGGGTTAAGCCTCTGCTTTTGGCTCAGGTCATAATCTCAGCGTGCTGGGATCGAGCCCCGCATCAGGCTCTCTGTTCAGCGGAGAGCCTGCTTCCCCTTCTCTCTCAGCCTGCCTCTCTGCCTACTTGTGATCTCTCTGTCAAATAAATAAATAAAATCTTTGGGAAAAAAAATCTGTAACTATGAGGTGATGGATATAAACAAAACTTACTGTGGTCATCATTTTGCAATATAAACATACATCAAATCAAATTATTATGTTATATACCTTAACTGTATACAAAATTATATGCCAGTTTTATCTCAATAAAACTGAAAAAAAATTCACTTTCTAAATTGTTCATCAATGGAAGAATGGATAAACAAAATATGGTATATTCATAATATGTAATATTATTTAGCCGTAGAAAGGAATTGAGATACTGATACATGCCACAACATGGATGAACCTTGAAAACACTAAGGTTCCAATAAAAGAAGCCAGTCACAAAGGACCATATATTGTATGATTCAGTTTACACGAAATGTACAAAATAGGCAAATCCACAGAGATCAAAAGTAGACAAATGGTTGCTAGAGGCTGAAGGGAGGGAGAAATGGGAAATGATTGCTAAGGGGCCCAGGGTTTATTTTGGTGATAATAAAACGTTTAGAAATTAGGCAGTAGTGATAGGTATATAACTCTGTGAATGTACTAAAAATCACTTTATTATATTTTTAAAAGGGTGAATTTTGGGTCTGTGAACTGCATCTCAATAAAGCTGTCACTGAGATTGTTCACTTTTACTTATTTGAGCTACCATTATATTTTAAAAAATTAACTGAAATTTGTAGGGCCTTGGTATCCTTGAAAAAAGAATGCTACAGCAGAATCTAAAAATTACTCAGTGTGAGGGAGCTAGTGGTACAGGTATTTAAGAGATGGGTATATTTGGTAGGGAGAAAGGAAAGGGCTTGCCTGATTTGGAGTAGAGCTTGCTAGAATGTGCAGAGCTGGGAGCAGAACTCCAACAAACTTGCTATTCACATCAACAGCCTCAGCTCACATCAACATTTATCACCTAAAAATACTTTAAACACTGAATACCACAACTGTGTCCAGTACGACAGACAGCCAATTATCAATCATGAGAGAAAAGACATATGAGAGATGTGAATTTTTTTCTCTTAGGTAGGCTCCACGCCCAGAGTGGAGCCCAGTGTAGGGCTCGAACTCATGACCCTCAGATGAAGACCTAAGCTGAGATCAAGAGTTGGACGCTTAACCAACTGAGCCACTCAGACACTCTGAGGTATGAACTTTTTAAAGAGTATTGCTGGCTGGGTCGGGGAAGCAAAGGGCTTACTTTCTAATGAATGGTCAACAAGAGAGTCTGAAAGTACCATGGTACCAAGAAATTACAAAAAGCAGAAATGTGGACTTTCATGGATCTCCATGAAAATGTAGAAAAGTGCAATAGTTTTTCTGTTTTAAATTCAGTCTTCCATACTTCCAGAAAAGACAACCTTATTAAACACTTAAGATCTTCCTAGAATGATGGAATGTTAGAAAGCAGAAAATAAACCTGAGAAACAAATGCTCCATCAAGAATAAAAATATCTAAGTAGTATCAGCTCCATGACATTTCCACTCCCAAACCTCCTACCCTATGACCTTTATTTCCTGAGGACCTAATATTGAGATAAAATTTCTGTGTTTCAAATTTAAACATGTTCAAATTTAAACAAAGTTCCCTTTAGATAGTATTTACCAACAAAACAAGAAAGATTTCTTTCTCATGAGCCTATATTTCTGACATTCCAATTTAAGTCATGTTTGAAATACTTACCAAGAAAAATAATTATCCTTGAATTTAAAATGGTGTTTCTTAGTTCCTTAAAGGAATTTGGCAGAGTTAAGAATAAGGGAAATTTAATGATCTTGTAATATTCTCAATTTATAATCCCCCCACTTAAAACTTATAAATTATTTCATAAAAGAAAAATCTGAACTTCCTCATATAGGTAAGAAATAAGTACCTTGTACTCACAGGATAACAGAAAATGCTGGAACAACCTAAGTGTTGACCATCAGATGAACTGATAAAGAAAATGTGATAATACACACATATAAACAATGGAATAAAAAAAGAAGGAAATCCTGTCATTTGTAACAACATGGATGAACCTTGAGGGTATTATGCTAAGTGAAGTTAAGTCAGACACAGAAAAACAAATGCCATATGATCTCACAAGTAAAATCTAAAAAAAAAGAACTAACAAACAGAACAGACTGGTGGTTGTCAGAGGTGGTGGTGGGGGAAATAGGTGACAATGGTCAAAAGGTAGAAATATCCAGTTATAAGATAAACAACTTCTGGGATTTAATAATGTACAATACAGTGACTGTAGTTAACAATACTATATTGTTGAAAGATCCTGAGAGTAAATCCTAAAGATTTGTGGTAATCATTTGGCAAACATACATATATCAAATAATTATGCTGTATTCTTTATGAATCACTTATGAAAGAATACTTCTGCCATCTAAAAATGTCCCTTTATCAGACATGTTATCACAGTATTTTTGGTTGAAAAGGCTTCCAGCCATGGATGCAGAAATACATATTAGGGAATATGCAAAACAGGTCAATCTATTGAAATTTTGGGCAAGAATTTAAAAAATGGAAACTTTGAGTGTTCTGATCTAAGCTTATACATTTATTTCACTGCATTCATCAAACCCTTCCTCTAGCCATACTTATACAATGGAAACACTCAAATGTACAGAAAGAAACAAAATTCTTAGGAAGTTTGCCCATAGCAGGATCATAGCAGAGTACAACACAGTCCATTTCATGTACTCAGCAGTTCACGAAGATTAGATTTCCTATTTCCTGTATGTTCACATGCAGATTTTCTTGGCATAAAGGCAAAGCCACAAGTTTTTTAGACAAAAAAACTAGATAAAGACCTCTCCCTGCATCTCATCTCAGCGTGAGTTAAGGCTAATGAAGGGTACACTTACACCCAAATTCTGCTTTGTGTTGGAGGATAACATGTCAACAATTTAAGTCACTGTTTTGGTAGATGGTAGATGGTAGACAATGCTGTTACTCGTATTTCTAATACTGAGCAAATGAGCCCAGGAAAAAGAAAATAGAGATGAGTGGGAAAGGTAGTTGATAGTATCACTGTTCTTTTTTCTTAAGAATCCTTAAATCCAGGGGCGCCTGGGTGGCTGAGTGGGTTACGCCTCTGCCTTCAGCTCAGGTCATGGTCTCAGGGTCCTGGGATTGAGCCCTGCATCGGGCTCTCTGCTCAGCGGGGAGCCTGCTTCCTCCTCTCTCTCTGCCTGCCTCTCTGACTACTTGTAATCGCTATCAAATAAATAAATAAATAAAATCTTAAAAAAAAAAAAAAAAGAATCCTCAATCCACTGCCATCCTTCTCATGAATTTTGAACTTAAACAAGACAAAAGTAGCTAAAGAATGCATGGCCAGTGATCGAGATCAGGATCATTGGTAATACAACTAAAGAATTAATTTCTATCCAATTCACCCACCAAACTTGGGAATTCAGCTGAATGGATACAGAAAACACTGCTGTAGAATATATCCCCAAAATACAGTATAAAAATCTGCACAATCGTGAAATCTACAAGGCTACAAATTCCACATTTTCATGAAAACTGTTTTCATCAGTACCACTCAACTTTTATTCCTACACTAACACCCAAAGTTAAGATTAAAGTCATTCCCTTAACAAAATGTGTAACAAATAATCTTTAAACAGCTAGTACCAAATGTCAGATATTGTGTTAGAAAGTCTATCAGGGAAGACAGACATGTAAATTAGGGCTTTCTTTCTCAGCAGAGAAACAAGGATTCCCTTATTCACAAGTTATTTGTGGTGATTTCCACAGTCTGATGCAGAGACTCCAGGGAGACAAAGGGAAGTTGTTTCAGTTTAAGGTGAGGTGGATGAATTAGAGAAACCAGGATGTATGTGCTGCTCTGCCACTCCCCGGAGGGAATGTCTCAGGAACTACACGTTGGTTCCCTGTCAACCTCCACCACTTTTCTTGGGGATTCTCAAGAGTCTGATTGGTTTAACTAGTTTTCTTTCTGCTGCTACAACCTGTTGCTGCTAATGAAGAATCTCTTTCTGTTCCCAGCCCACTGATTTTAGAACAAGGTCTCTAATTCTTCTCTCATAACCTTCTACTTTGAAGGAAGCATAGTACTCTGGATATTCTTTCAGCTTTATTTTTCTTAAACAGTAAAGAAAAACGGGGTTGAAAAAAAGGCTATTTTCAGTGCCGTTCTTTAATTTTTTCATCTATCATTGAAAAGGGCAAAGTGGATTGTGCGTTTGGGTGCAAATGGGACTTAAAAAAATATATACGTACTGCAGCACCTGGATGGCTCAGTTGGTTAAGCATGTGCCTTCGGCTCAAGTCATGATCCCAGGGTCCTGGGATGGAGCCCCTGAACTGGCCTCCCTGCTCAGCAGGGAGCCTGCTTCTCCCTCTCCCTGTCCTTCTGCCACTCTCTCTGCTTGTGGTCTCTCATAAGCACTCTTTCTCTCAAATAAATTCTTAAAAAAAAAAAAAAAAAGGTATTTATATTTCTGAGGACAATCAATTTGAGGTAAAGATAAAGAAATGCCAAGGCCCACTACAAGGACTGGGAAGACGGGCTACAGTAAGAAAAAGAAGAAGGGGACCAAACTATGAATTTATTCTTTTTCCCTCCTCTCTCCCATTTTTATAACATGGACATGCACAATGCCCTCACAGAAACTCTCAGACCCAGCTCAAGGGAGACTGAACCCTCTAGTCTGTTGCTATGCTGGGAAAAGGAGAGGAGGAAGGTAGGAAATGTGCCACAAATGTAGTAATTAGGATTATCATACTTTTTTACTATACTATAAATAACTACTAATCATCAGCTGTTAAGATCTTTGGAAACAGGCTTGAGAATCAGTAAGGATAGTTTTAATCACTAATTATTTAGAAAATAATACCTCTAAGTTTATAAGGTTTGGGTTTTATTATTCATTTATTATAAGTCCAATATCCACAGATAAGACAAAAGTTTCAGGAGGATCCCAATTCCAACAAGTAGAACTCTAAAGTAACAGTCTGATTATGTGATGTTTTATGACATTACTATTCTTCTTCAATACATTAAAAATAAAAACTTCAAGTCTTTAACAGAGTTGCCTTTACTGAAATCAAAGTCATCCTGCAAGACCCTCCCCCTACTCCCCATTTACCCAGATAAGATATCTCAGCTCCTAAGGCTCCAGTCTCAGAATAAGATGGAGGCTCTTGCTCTTCTTCAAGGACAATTCTTCCTCATATGCTCAATCCAGGTATTCTCATCTCTCTTTAGCCTCCTCTTCTTTACCGGCAATTCCCATTTTACTTTCAGGTTGTAGGCAACTTTAGAGAAACTACTGACACTAGTAACTCTCTACTTCCCATTCCATTTTCATCTTGGATTCTCAAAATTCTCCATTTTGAGACTGGCCGCTCTATACTTAGGTGTTTGGGGGCCTTATTGTTCTATTGATATTGCAAATTACTAGTGGTCGATTCTTGGTTTTTATTCTTGACTTCTCTACAGCACTGATAATCCTGGAAACTCTCTCCTCCCTTCTTCAGGGAGGGAGTTAACTTTTTTCTTTTTAAATTTCCCTTCTGTAATCCTTGCAGGGTCTTTTTTGGTTATCTAACTGGGGGATAAAGGACCCCTGGCCTCTTAACTCTTCTTCTGTGGTGAGCTCAACAACCAGTTTAAAGGATTCTTGTGTATAACTCAAAAAAATCTGTATCTTAATCCCTACTTAAATTATCCATTACTTAGTATATATTAAACTGACAATAGGAATTATAAAACACTACAATTTTTAAAAACACATTTTCTGTGGTACCTGGGTGGCTCAGTCAGTTAAGAGGCTACCTTTGGCTCAGGTCATGATCCCAGGGTCCTGGGATCAAACCCCACACTGGGCTCCCTACTCACTGGGAGGGAGCCTGCTTCTCCCTCTCCTGCTCGCTCTGCTTGTGCTCTCTGTAAAATAAATAAAATCTTAAAGATAAAATAAAATAAATAATAAATAAAATAAAGTAAAATAAAATAGAATTTCCTTCAAATTGGCTAGCTCTTGTCTCTGTTAACTTCTACAAACTGATTCACATCCTGGATGCCTCACATTCATACCCACCCTTCTGCCTTCACTTGCATGCACTGTTTCCCTAAACTGGGATCAAGGTTCCATATCTTTTTTAAGTCTTATACATTCATTATGGTGTAGCTTAAATACCATTTCTTCTGTGATGGCTTCACAAAACACTAATGATCAGGATGATTTCTCTCCTCATCTTTACACTGATTAAATTAACATATATCTGTATCATCTCTACTTTGAATTAACCTCCTAAAAGGAAAGTCCGGGTATAGTCAAATGTAGGTTATATATGTTCAGTGAACAACTGTAAGGAATTTAATTTTTAAAAATAGATCATCATGAAAAAACCTTAAAAACAAAAGGCATTGGGAGGAGTAAGCACCAACTGGCAACATCGAGACATGTGCATTTAAAGTGAGGACTTTGATGTGAGAATACTATACCTTTAGGCCCTTTCCCGGGGGTGGGTTCTACAGTAGTTTTGCTCCATATAAGTATGACTCCACCTGAGTCTCCAGTAAGAACATCTCCATTCCCCAAGAATGCTAAACACTGCACAAATTTTGGCTTTTCATATTTCTACAATGAAACAATGAGAATTTTCAGTTTTCCTTTGGCATAATGTTTGTTTACTCAACAATTAAAAAAATCAAAAGTTATATGTTTATAATAAATAAATAAATAAATAAATGCTAAAAAAAAAATCAAAAGTTTTAAAATGAACTTGCAACATTCTGATCCTTACCCCAAAAATTCCCTGTTTTCTTGTTAGTGAATTGCCACTCCAGGTCCAGAAAAAGATATGAGATTTACCACAGGTTATTATGGTATTTGCATCTGTTGGATGGAACTCCACAGCCAAAACAACTTCATTTGTTGTCTGTGGATAGAGAAATAAAGCTTTAGATGAATGTATATCTTTATCTCCATCAAATACCAATTACAGCTACTGACAACCAAAGACTGGGAAACATTTTGAGAAAACACCTTTTCTTCGAAGACCAACTTTCCTGAGAATTTTTAACAGATTTTTCGAATGATTTGAGTTTGATGTCCTCATACTACTGTATCATCTTTTATGTTATTTATATATAATAACTGCACTAAAAAGACACATAAATTAGTTTAAGATTCTTTTAATTTTTTATACATTAAGGTAAAAGTACACTAAAACTAGCAAATGCAAGAGCCATGTACATTCTATCATAAAGACAGACTGTCATTTTGATAGGAAAAAAAAAAGTCTTCTCTTTCTTGGTACTATTACTACTGACCAAGAAAATATTACTGATTTAGAGATTCATCATCAGGCTGAGGGCTTATAAAGTAGATGCAGAATGGTCACTACTGATAACTATAGAGTAATGAAGAAACAAAAAACTAACAAGTTTTATGCTCTTTCCTCAAAAAAACCTAAAAAGGATAGGAGTTAAGTTTAAAAGAACTAGAATGAGACAGTAGAAGAAAACAGGCATGAGGGCCACAAAGGAATTACAGATATAATTTTTTCACTGAAATTACTGAATTAGCAAATGTTTTATGGCAAAAGCACCTATTCAAACTTAACAGGTAAAATATACATGCTTGTATAGCTGTTTATTGTTAGCTGTTGTTTATTTGCAGGGTGACTATTAATATCCATTTTTAAGAAAGATTTATTATTTTTAAAAAAGATTTTATTTATTTGAGAAAATGAGAGGGAGAGAGAGAGAACATGAGAAGGGGGCAGGTCAGAGGGAGAAGCAGACTCCCTGCTGAGCAGGCTGCCTTATTCGGGACTCAATCCTGGCACTCCAGGATCATGACCTGAGCCTAAGGCTTAACGCTGAGCCACCCAGGCACCCCAGATTTATTTCAGAGAGACAAAGCACATGAGTGCATACAAAGGTGGGGGAAGGGGCAGGTGGACAGACTCTTCAAGCAGACTCCAACACAGGGCTCCATCCTGTGACCATGAGACCCATGATGACCCATGAGATCATCACCGGAACCAAAACCACTACTGACTGAGCTACCCAGGTGCCCCCTTAATGTCTATTTTTTAACTTTAAGAACTTCATGTCAATGAATTAATCTCTTTTAGAGATGACTAATTTTTGTTTTGTTATTAACATCATCTTTAAAATTTACTTTGACCCCAGGATATTTTACATTAATTTTTATCAATTTTATCAACTACATTAATTTTATCAAATTATATTATATGTACAGAAGAGTACTCAAATCCCAAGTACATAGCTTGAAAATATTCACAAACTGAACACACTTCTGTACAGCATCTAGAACAAGAAAAAGAACAATTTCTAACATACCAGATACCTAAAAACTTAGATACCTTTTCTAGACACTATCCTCTATGTCTGCTCAAGTAACTATGATCCTGATTTACAGCAACATAGATTACTTTGTTTTATTTAAATGGAATCATACAGAATGTACTCCTTTGTATCTGACCCCATTTTATCTACATTTGTGAGATTCAGTTCATATTGGTGCATATATTGTAATTTGTTCATTCTCATTGCTGTACTGTATTCCTTTGTATGTAAAGATCCCATTGTTGATTTATCCATTCTCCTACTGATTGGCATTTGGGTAACTTCCTTTTGTGGGGCTACCATTATTTTTGATTAGTTGTCTTTTGGTTAACACATGGATATACTTCTGTCGGGTTTATACCTAAGAGTGGAATAGGAGGGTAGAGGTTATACACGTGTATATGTTCAACTTTAAAAGGTAATGCCATTTTCCAAAAATGGCTGTGCTGATATCTGTGTTCAACATACAACAGTGTATTAGAGTTCCAGTTACTTCACACATCACACTTGTAATTTTTGTCTACTCTTATCGCTTCATATTTCCACACATACTCAGCTTGTCAACTTTTGTGAAAATCATGCTGGGATTCTGACTATGCTGAAAATACAGAATAATATGCACAGATGTAATATCCTTATATTTTCTTCTATCCATGATTACTGTATATTCCTTCATGTATTTATGTCTTCTTTAATTCTTGTCAATAGGTCTTAAAGTTGCCTTGCTGAATTTTAAACTTATATAAATTAACTATGTATGTACCAACTCTCCAAATTTCTGTGACTTAAGCAAAAATAGAGCTCATCTACAGTGGGAGAGAGTAAGGTCAACACAAAAGAAAAGGAGGAGAGAGAAGAGAGTCAGTGATGCAGTCCTGAATCAAGTCATTCCTGAGACAAAATTCCCCTCTGACCTTTTCTAGATGTGTTTTTTCTCCTTAACCATGAATCAATAAATTCTCTTCATCTTTAAGTTGTTTTGCAGTCACTTGCACTGGAAAGAGCTCTAAAACAGACATCTGGGATACAAGGAACTTCGGTGTGACAAGCAAGGGGAAAAGAGTTTCTAGCTTTCACAAGTAGGTGAAGTGTGGTAGGAGGTGAAACAGGTTGAGGGCTAAGGAAGATGACTAGTGCAGAATGGGAAATGTTGATTTTGATTTACAGGATAGGACATTCAAATAAAGATGCCTAGCAGGCAACAAGAAATATAGGTTTAAGTGTGGGACAGAGATCTGGGTTAGAGTTAATTGATATGGGACACAGCAGACAGTAATTAAGGCCATAAGAGCATACATGATACCATTGGAGGACACGAGATATAACTCTGAAGAATACCAACATTTAAGGCCCTGGAAAGGAGATCAACAAGTGACCAGCAGGAGGAAAACCATAAGACTTCATCTGGTAGCCTTTACTACAAAGGATCACCCATTTCACTTCAGTATAACATCCTCATGTTTCAATGTTAAATTACTTTTATGGCTGAAAGACAATCTACATCCTCATTTGTATTTTTCAAGTTTGGAGGTTTCCTGACATGTCATATTCTTTTCAAGCACAATCAATCTACCGTCTCTTTCAAAAGATTAACTTACACTATTTAAAAGAATCTCTTTTTGACCAACAAGCTGAAAGCCTGAAGCTTATACCAAACAAAACTGTTGAGAGAGAGAGAGGGAGAGCGCGAGAGAGAGCGCACAACTAAAGAGGAATGTGATGTTATTTAAGAGTACAGCAAATATGTCATAGGCTTTTTATAGTCATTCTGTCACTCTGAATCCCTCTGAAAGCCTATGAGAGGGAGACCATTTCTACCCATATGAACATAGCTGCAATGTTAAGCTTATGTTCTTCTCTTACAAGTTATAGACTGATCCACACAAAGGGATCAATCCTATTCTACAACAATTATACATGCTGTAGCATTTTATGTAATAACCCCATACATGTAATTAAGACCAAAAAACTTACTGTTACATATGCTTTTTAGTTATGTGAGTCATATTCCTAGGACGAATTTTTTCCTTAGGGTTTTAAAACTTTAAAGACTGAATGAAGTAACAAATTTTGTTAAGGAAACCAGGTTGAGTATTCAGAGTTAATTCTGAGATGAGATAACCATCTACTTCGGCATTTCAGTAGCACAATGTGTCTGAAATATCACTGGAATTTGGTTGAAGGTACCTGACTATTTTATCTTAAGAATAATTTAAGAATTGACCTCAGGATCTATAGATACTATCACAGAAACTACAGATCATAAATAGATGTTGTTTAAAAAAAATAGATTAAGAATGGTATTCTTAGTATCATTAGAACGATGGCAATCAATAAATCAAATGGATAAGGCCAGCTGGTATGCTTTTACAACTTAAGGATATGCAATATACTTCCAAGGATCTGCAAAACAAATAATGTATTCTAAAAAATAATAATTAAAACTTCTTTTGATTTACCTTTATTTCTGCTCCTTTTGATTTTTTCTGCCAATCCCATACAGTAAGCATATGCTCATTGGAGTCATCAATAACACATAAATGAACACCTGAATCCTAAAGAAAAGCCAAATAAAGGCATTTAGAATTTTCAGTTAAGTTTGACTTTCTAAGAAGAAATACCATTTTATTAAAACTGCCAACATTAAGATAATCCCAAATCCTTTAAACACACAGCTTCTTCAAAGAAAATGATTATACTCTTCCCTGACTGTATTTTTTTCAGAAATATAATGAAGACTCCTTAAAAAATATTTTCTACTTTTAATTTTTTCCCCAGGTTAGTTTCTACTTGTGATCTAGTTACTTCTGTTATTCAGAGATAGCAATTTAGTTTTCCATGATATATCTGACTTACATTAACATGAATAAATGAGATAAATTATTTTTTTTATTATCCTTTAAAAAGTTTTTTTTAAAGATTTATTTATTTGAGAGAGAGAACATGGGTAGGGAGGGGCCAAGTGAGATGAACGAGAGAATCTCAAGCAGATTCACCACTCAGATGTGGAGCCCAACGCCTGAGATTATGACCTGAGCTGAATAAAGAGTCAAACACTTAACTGACTGAGCCATTCAGGCGCCCCTCTTTTCTATCTTTCTGAAACCATTTTCATTCACATAATTTAAGTCTCCCAGTTTAAGAAAAAAAAAATGTGGATATTAAAAAATTATTTGTTTTCCAGTAGCATTTGCAATATATGCCTAATGACATATATGGGAGAAAGAAATACTGTGGAGAAAAGTAAGAGGTAATGATGAAGGACAGAGCTTGCTCTCTTCTTTTTATCTTTCTTTTAGCCTGTATTAGAACAATTACCTAAGCCAGGAAAAGTTAAGAGTATGAGACAATCCAAGATAGTCTTAACACTGTAATAATGGTATCAACAAGATGACAACAGTTCCTGCTACAGAAATTTAGGGATAAAAAAGGTAGTAAAAGTCCTTCAGTCCATTTATCACCTTTCTCATAATTCTTGTCTCACAGGACCTCTGGACCTTCAGTACCTTCAAAGCTAGCAAAGTTTCTACGTCCACCCAAATTTATCTTTCTGTTCTTAAAATGTCCCTTCTGCCTCCATGTCCCACAAAACTCCCATAATCCATAATAAACCTGCTAAGAGCTAGGAACTGCAGAGGTAATATGAATACATACATATATCCTAAAGTATGAGTGAGGGCCAATAAAATCTGGAGGGGTGTATTTGAAACTTAAAATCATGGATCCTAAAGTGTAGATCTCCTGTATACTCTATAACAATTGTATATAATTCAAGAATAAATAGAATGTTTCAGTGGGTAATATCCCTCTTTCATTTTCCCTTCAGGATAAAGCCTCAAGGTTTAGATAGGACTGCTAGATACCGAATTTTAAACTCAAGTTGTCATCAATTCAGAACCAAGATAATTCACGATTTTATTGAGTACAAAGGTCTGATTTTTTAAAAAGATTTTATTTATTTATTTGAAACAGAATGAGAGAGAGCATGAGAGGGGGGAAAGTTAGAGCGAGAAACAGATTCCTGACCGAGCAGGGAGCCCAATGTGGGACTTGATCCTCGGATTCTAGGATCATGGCTCCACAAAAGTCTGATTATTTCATTTGCTCCAACATGACCTCAAGAAAAGCCAGTATTTGTGTGGAACTGGCCAACTTTCATGTCTGAATTTTCTAAATAAAATATATTTCCATGATTCAGGCTGAAGCAAAAGCACGTCCTACTGCTTATTTCAATTATACCATGCTATGTATATATTCCTCTAATCATTTCCTGTTACTATAGGAATCCTACTTCAGAACAAAAGTATAATTAAGTATAACAACCTGTATCCCATTTAAACCAAATACTTTAGTACCTACGTTAAAGTGCTGGCCATTGCTAAGCAATAGCTAACAATTCAGAGTTAGCACTTTCTGTGAACATACTGGGCTTATTTTCTTTTCTGCTTCTTTGCACTGTTTGCTTGCTTCTTTAAAAATTGTTACTTACTGCTTTTGAAAAATCCAGGCATCCTACTCCCCGCTCAAAGGTCCCAAGTCCAATAATTTGCAGTGTGGATAAACTAACTGAATCCCACACTCTGACATGGGGTTGCAGAGGCTGCAAAGACAAGGGGAAAAACATAAGATCGCAAGACTATCTGGTATTCAGTGGGTGCAAATAAATACTGCTACCAAGCAGAACTGTCTGCCATCTCTAAAAAGCAGTAGGGATAGATAAACATCTAATATAAACCAGCTACTACATTAGACAGGACCCCAAAGAATCTTGAGGAGGTATTTTCTTCTCATACTATGAACACAAGAAAATAACAACAGTGATAATAATAGTAGCAGAAAATGATTTAGTATTTACTATGCCATCTACTATTCTAAGTACATGTATTAATTCATTTAATCCTCACAGTCCCATAAACTATGTACTATAATAATCACCATTTAACAGATTAGGAAATGGAGATATAGAGATTTGAATAACTTGCCCAAAGTTATACAGGTTTTTTTTTTTTTTTAAGATTTTATTTATTTATTTGACAGAGATCACAAGTAGGCAGAGAAGCAGGCAGAGAGAGAGGAAGGGAAGCAGGCTCCCTGCTGAGCAGAGAGCCTGATGTGGGGCTCGATCCCAGGACCCTGGGATCATGACCTGAGCAGAAGGCAGAGGCTTTAACCCACTGAGCCACCCAGGCGCCCCCAAAGTCATACAGTTATTAAAAGGCAGAGTTAGAATTCTAACCCAAGCAAATTTTCTCTGGATACTCTGCTTTTAACATTACCTTAATTCCTGGAAAATAATGCCTTTTTTTCCTAACCAGTGTCCAATAAATTGCTAAACAAACAGTTCTTAAATAGAATTTGAAACCGGAAGGGGCCTTAGACTCATCCAATATAACCATTCCAACTCCTGAATTTTAAACTCAAGCCAGAGAATGTCATGGGTACAGTCAGACACGTTAATCAGTCATCAATAATACTCTGTTGATCCTTACAAGTAAGATATTTATTACGTAAACCAACTTAATGATATTGAGTAGGAACTGAAATTTTTAAACTGTTATCAGTTCCAGTCACATATAAAATCAAGTCCATCAAAGTAGCGAAATTTTACTATCTTCTGGCAAACACTGATAAATTACGCTAAGTTAAAAAAAAAAAAAAAGTAAGAAGCTTCTGAGTCCTCCCAATTTTACAAATAAATAGTCCCCTTAGGGAGAATATTTCCTTTTAGAGAAATATTTAAGTAGTATGATTCTCTTTTGTTTTTTGGGATGTTCTTACATTCTACTGTTTTTTCCCTCTTATACTAGAGATACCTTAGCGGCATTTAAAAGAATGAAATAAGCAAGCCATGGTTAAAATTACAATCAATTCCATTCTAATGGCAACATCACTGACAGCATGCAGAACACTAAGCCACTCACCCTTCCATCTTTATCCACTCCAGCTATCTGTCCAGTTGCAATCCTAATTTTGTCAGGATGTACAGCAAGGCTAAAACAGCATTATTAACAACAATTTTAAATATGGGAAATGTGAAACAGCCGAAATATGCCTTAGTAACAACATCTGTCAAACATTTTTCAGTTTTTAATCATTAAAAAATTCTCATCGTGACTTATCTGATTTTCTTTAGCAAATCAACCACCTAAGTTTTGACCATACTTTTTCTTCCTTTGGTCAACTAAAACAGACAAATTAATGGAGCAGTAAATTCACATCTGTGGCAGGATAACTTAAACTGTCTTCATCTGTTCAAGTTCCTTTCTAATGTTGCACACACGCATGCAGTCAGATGGTTTTATCGTAGTAAAGATGCGGTACTGCACGGTACAAATGTAACCTATTACAATGACAGCATTTTCCCCGTTTGCTGTATCCTTATGCATTATTATTGACTGAACAGTTCTTCTATCATTTCTACTTTTCTACAAAGGAACACAGTAAACACAGTACCTCCAAACTCTTAAAATTAAGAGTTCTTAATGCTGTACTCTTATAAGTCAAATATGGAGCAAGAAACTCTTAAGAACAAACTGAAAATAGTGCAGCATATATGCCCACATTTTTCATGATAAACATGAGAGACTAGCAAAATTTTTAAAAAGATGTCTTCCTGTTTATATCTAGACTCTTTATACATCTTGAAACCAAGGGATAAGCTCATTGAGAATGTAAATTTTTTATTCTTAGTATGTATTGCTCATAACTTTCCATAAGAGTATCAATTTAAATTATCATAAGAAACAAAAGTGCTTTAAAAGTTCCACTATAACTTCCCCATATTAAAATGCCACTTTTTCAAATATATCGTGCAGCATGCCTTTAATATCCTTAACATCTGAGCTCTCCACAAGAAACCATTTCTGAAAAAACCCAAATTAAAAAGAAATGCAAAAATGACAAAGAAAAAAAAGACAAGTGTTCAATGATACCAACCATTTCACACAGTCTGTGTGACCCAGGTAGTGTCGCTGAGTTCTCTCCTCATAATTAAACAGTACTACTACTGATGCTATGAAATACACTATTTCTCCGGTAGGAAGAAGGTAAACATTAGCACGACAGTCCTTTCCTCGATAACCGTATCTTAAACACAAAAGTCAAGGTTTTTAATAAACACAATTTTTAAGGTGTAAACTAACAAGCTTTTCATGGATACCGAGGGGCATGAGAAAGGTAGAAAGAAAACGGGAATGCACCAGAGCTAGGAAACTCAAGTCCTGCCACTATCCAAGGTGCAATCCCGAGTTTTTAACATGCATAAATCTTAGTTTCCTCATTCCCCAGACAAATACATATTGAGTTCCTAACATGTGGCAGGCACAGGCTGAACATACCGTTCTGAACAAAACAGAGGCCTGCGTCCCTGAAGATTATGCTCTCTCAAAGATGACAAAAACAAAGACCAAAAATATCATTAGAAATTGTTGAAAGAAAAGTAACAGTATCCCAGGAGAAAGCATAGAAAGAACACCTAATTTAAATGGAGAGAAAGTGAGGAGAGGGATCAAAAGAAGTGCTGAGAAGATGACATTTGTGCTTGACCTAAATAAGGAGTAAGACAGCCAGGCACAGTTTAGCAGGCAGAGTGTTTATTAAAAAGTTGTACAGAATTACAGGATTGGTGAGCTTTCCCAAGCTAATTTCTACAGAAATGAGGGAATGAATGAAAGGGTAGGGGAAAGAGTGTAGAGGAGAATGGAGGCAGAAAACGGAGTTCAAACTACTAGCTCCATTCTGCTTCATGGAGTTTCTCAAAGGTTCTAAGAGAAAAATTTCTAAGTGAAATTAAGGGAGCTCTTTTATATAGTCATTTTTTACAAAGTCTGGCTGAGAAGTTAATTCTGGAATTAGAATCAATCATATTAATTTGAGCTCGTAATAAAATAATTTACATTATTTTGCAAGTTATAAAATGCTTAACTGATGTTTCCTTATTTAATTCTTACAACAGCTCAGTAAAGTAGGAGTTATTAACCTCTTTTTATAAGGGTAGTAAGGTTCATTGGGGGTGGCAGAGCTGAGACTCAAACACTAGTCTTCCATTCCAGTCCAATGCCTTCTCTACCACGCTACAAGCAGCTGCCACGATGTTCATACAGTACCGCTTGTCCTATCCAAACACATGAATTTGGGTGGTTTTAAATTGCTAAGAGCAAAATATATATAATATGTGAAAGATGAGAAGTAACATCTCTTTACTTTCTCAAGTGGTTGTGGTATTACATTTATTACTTTTTTTGTATAGAGATAATTTTGATAGAGGTTAGGTAAATGAATTTTTCTTAAACTAAAGACAAAGCAACCAAAGTTGCTGTCACAGTAGAGAAGGATACACCCACTCCAGTTTCAGCTTCTCAGGAGGCAGTTCTGTTCTGATGTCATCATAGTTTTCAACATCAGAAGGAATGAACATTGTAATTGGCCGACCTCGCATAAACATTTTAACATATTCTCCTTCTGTTGAAACACAAGACAAAAGTTAAGTCAATTTTCTGAATAATCATAGAAAAGTGGATTACTATGGTGATACAGTAAGAACAAGACAAAAAATAGCTAGTTCATAGTTCTATTCTTATTATACATAATTATTTTTATATAAAGACCTTGTCTAAACATTGCAGGAAAAACTACTGTTCATTCCTTAAATGAGAATAACTATTTTCACAATTAAACTAAACTAAATTAAACAAGAAGGCCAGGAAAGCTGAGGTAGAAAAATGGAAAAAAAAAATCATAATGAAAGTTTTCCTAACAGTTGAAAATAAGAAACAGATTATCAGGGCAGACAACAATCACGTCTACCACATTACTTCATCAATCTACTGATTTTTTTTTTAAAAAGATTTTATTTTTTGAGAGAGAGAGGAGAGAGCGAACAAGCACACAAGCAAGCACAAGTGCAGGGAGGGGCAGAGAGAGAAGCATGTTCCCTGCTGAGCAGAGAGTCCAATGCAGGACTTGATCCTGGAACATCGGGATCATGAACTGAGCTGAAGGCAGATGCTTAACCGACTGAGCCAGCCACACGCACCAACCTACTGATGTTTAATGAGACATACAAAAAACATGGCCTGAGACTACACCATGAGGAGAGGGGTCATACAGCATCATAAGTCAGGATGTGGAGAGAGAACAAGAGCTCTGCCACATATAGTGAGTACAGCTAGAAGGGAAAGAAGACCAACTTCCCTCACTTCATGACTGTGCCAACAATCAGGGTTGGGTCTAAACTATTTTTTAAAATATTTTATTTATTTATTTGACAGAGACACAGTGAGAAAGGAAACACAAGCAGGGGCAGGGGGAGACGGAGAAGCAGGTTTCCCGCCGAGCAGGGAGCCCAATGCGGGGCTTGACCCCAGGACACTGGGATCACGACCTGAGCCAAAGGAGATGCTTAACTGACTGCACCACCCAGGTGCCCCGGGTCTGAACAATTTAATTCAATTACAATACACTAACAGTTTTTAAGACAGTGCTAGGAAATATTTTTTTTAATTAGCAAGTATAGGTTCCAAAATAGCTCTTATTTACATAAAGCAATAGTTGTTTATAAGATCTGCAACAATCTAAAACTAAAGATGCTAAAGTCTAAAATCAATATTTATTGTATACCTTTTATAAAACGAAACAAAACTTCCCTGAACAAATGAGACTATTTCTTGAAAACAAAAACCAAAAAATAACATCCATTCTCCATCCCAGCATCCCAATGACCAACATATAGCTAAGTTTAGTAGATGGTGACAGTGATGGTGAAATGGCCACAAGAAAACCTTAACAGGAAGGAGAAAGTAAGGAACCTGAGTACAAAAGGATAGCATGTGTTCAGCAATTACGAACTTGTTTGGCAGGATATGAAAAAACAGCAGAAAGAGACTGAAAATGTGGACATCAACCATAGGCCGATACAACTCTAGGGCCTCTAATATAATGACCTAAGCTACCAAGAATAAGAATATATAATAATTCAATAGTTTATATAATGAGAACCATGGAAGAAGGAAAGATAAATTACTTGATGAATGTCTGCAAGTATTTGTGCTTATTATGGGTGAGAAGTTCAAGTTATTTTTATTATTATTACTCACTTGTGTTTGGTCTCATGGTTAGATCTAAGAACAGGCTGAGACCTCCCACGCCACAGTTTTCACACCACATGATACAGGTCTTTATTACTTCTGAACTAAGAGTGGGCTCTGCTTCCTGATGATTTTTAGCATTGCTGGACTTGATGAGAACTAAATGACTACCAGCTGCAACTATTTCTTTTCTGCAATCATCTTTATTGGCATCTTCTTGTCCTTTTTTTGTATAGTTTACTTTCTTATCATCATCAGTTTGTTACAAAATTGCCCTCGTTCTTTTTTTTTTTATAAGAATATAAATTCTTGGGGTCCCTGGTTGGCTTAATCATAGACCATGTGACTCTTGATCTTGGGGTTGTAAATTTGAGCCCACACTGGTGTAGAGATTACTTGAAAAAAAAATCTGAAAAAATGTATATATAAATTCTTAGAGGCAGATATCCTGTCCATTGGAATTTCCCGCAGTATCTTTGATCAAAGGCGTGTGTCATAAATGTTTTCTGGATGAAAAAATAAAGCTATTAGCAGATGTTTCTACCACTTAGTTGAGATCAGATGTCCAGCCAAAGGGATGGATTTAGGAACAGCATTATCAAAGAAAAGAGAAGTTCTCCTTTGCTAACAGAGACAGCTCGGAATACCACATTGCTTCCTCTGCCGATTATTCTTTACCCTTAGCAGCACAAGCAACTAAGTAAAAGCAACTATCTAGTGCTTTCTAAAGAAACTATCTAGTGCTTGTCAACTTTTCTAATATAAAAATGGCAAAGCATGTCAGGATGAAAATGTTTTCTCTGCCTGGAAGCTGGCAGTACATATGTTGAGGGCCAAATACATAAGCTAGGAACCATGAATAAGTCCTGAGATTGAGGGAAGCAATCCATTATAGTGGAAAGAACATGAGCTTTTGGGAAAAGACTGATCAAGATGTAAATTCCAGCTTTACTAATGACTAGCTGTGTGACTCCGGCCTAGTTTTCCTAATACACAAAATGACACTAGCTACTTACCACCTGCAATTATGACTCACTGAATAAGACGTCACACTGTAAGGGGTAATATGAGGTCCTCAACAAGTATTCCCTTCCCTCTGAGAATGATTTGTACCATTCTGGACCTTGTCTAGGAACTGCTTACAATATGTGATTTAACACACTATAATATCTCTTCATAATCTTTAAACTGACTGTCCACAGAAGAGTATGTATAGGCAAATAAGCTAGAATTCTCACTCTATCACGTACACTTTTTTATTTTTATTTATTTATTTATTTTTAAAGATTTTGTTTATTTCTTTGACAGACACAAGTAGGCAGAGGCAGGCAGAGAGAGAGGAGGAAGCAGGCTCCCCGCTGAGCAGAGAGCCTGATGTGAGGCTCGATCCCAGGACCCTGAGACCATGACCTGAGCCGAAGGCAGAGGCTTTAACCCACTGAGCCACCCAGGCGCCCCTCATGTACACTTTTTTTTTTTTTTTTAAGATTTTATTTATTTATTTGACAGACAGAGAGAGATCACAGTAGGCAGAGAGGCAGGCAGAGAGAGAGGAGGAAGCAGGATCCCCGCTGAGCAGGGAGCCTGATGCGGGGCTCAATCCCAGCATCCTGGGATCATGACCTGAGCCGAAGGCAGAGGCTTAACCCACTGAGCCACCCAGGCGCCCCTCATGTACACTTTTTAAAAAAGAATTTACTTGGGAGAGAGAGAGAGAGCAGAGAGAGAAAGAGAGCACATGGTGGGGGGTAGGAGAAAGGGGAAGGGAGAGGGAGAAGCAGGCTTCCCGCTCAGCAGGGGACCCTACATGACCAGAGCCTAAAGCAGGTGCTTCACTGACTGAGCCATCCAGATGCTCCTATCATGTACACTATAAAACAGGGGTCACAAATTGACTTACCTACTGGCCCACACAGAAAATGCAAATGAGAGCAGTAAAAGAATAGAGGATGACTGACTGGGACTCTGGGACCACTGGCACACCCCATGCTTAAAGTAGGCAGTAGCTACTTTAAGTCCATGAAACATGTGGGCCTAGTGTTGCTAGATATTCCCATTTTTTTAAAAAGAGAAATGGGAAATCTATAGTTTATTGTTATATCTCCCGATTCTTAAATATTTAATCCCTGTGGGGAAAAAAGGGGGAAATACCATGTGAAAACCTATCGTTGGCCTGCATACTGCAGTCTGTGAACTGCTGTGTTTTGTTTTGAATAAAGAATACAGTCTTTACCTTGGGAATCAGGTAAAATACAGTCAAAGAAGAGTCTCTTTTCTCCTCAACCACTGTTGAGTATATATTCTCACTGCAAACTTGTTCTTGAGACCGTCAGACTTCTTGACTTTAGAAAGGATTTTAGAGTCCATTTATCTGTTTTACCCCAATGCTACCTTCTAGCCTTTCTTACTGTAAAACTACAGTAACACGAAAGTCAAGAAGGGATGGGCCATGGGACCAAGGAAGATTATGAGATCAGTTATATTTTTCTGGTGTTCCAGAACAACAAGCAGAGGAAAAGAAACTGCTAAACTATCATGATAATTAGTAAACACAGTATAGAGCTTTTCATTATTCAATAATGAAGCTGCTTTCTAGTGAAATGTAATTAATCTCAACATTTTATTTCTTACTTGGCACTGTGAAAATTCCTTGGACTGAGTGGGAGGCTATACAATATAGTAGACAGAATATAAGATTTGTAATCAAGTCAGACCTTGGTCTGAACTCCAGCTTTACCACTTACAAGTTTATGCCAATAAAAAAATTTTTTTAAGAGAGGGAGGGAGGGAGGAGGGGTAGAGAGAGAAGGAGAATCTCAAGCAGGCTCCATGCCCAGCATGGTCACAACCCTAAAATCGTGACCTGGGCCAAAATGAAGAGTTGGACACTTAATCAACTGAGGCACCCAGTGCCCCTAAATAAATCTAATCAATGACAGCTTAATTATAAAAGAAGAAATTCTGTGAGATGCTATTGATAAAAATACTACAATCAATACCGAAATACCATTAGTTTGTTTCTCCAGACACATATAATGTTGGAACTCATAGAAATTTGAGAGTTCACCTAGTCCAACACTTTACTTTTAGAGAAGGGGAAACCAAGGCTCAGAGAGGTCAACTGAGTTTTTAGACTGTGTTCCAAAATTCTGATTTAGAATTTGTGGAACATTTTTATTCTAAAACTATGTTTTAGATCTGCAGCATTCAAAACAATAGCCACTGATTCTGAACACTTAGGATGTGGCTAGTCTGAATTGAGATATGTTATAATTGTACAAAAAAAAAAAAGATACTTCTGTTCTATTATCTTTGGGAAGAGTGAATGCTAGGCAGAAATATTTAATTTTCTTTTACTCTTTTTTTTTTTTTTTT